TTTTTGGGGAGAAAATCTGAGAGAACTTACGATACATCGAGTTGGCGAAAAAGGAGACCGAGAATTGCGAGAGAGCATAAGAGAACGATGAGAACATCGGAGAAAAGAGAGAGAAGAGTTGCGTTTCGATATGCGCAATGATAATACACCAACGTCCCGCTAATCAATAAACCCATCGCCTTCCCTACTTCTCCCATCTCTCTCCACACAAAAACTTGATTCCACTTCACAAAATTTTCCCCAGAAAAACTCTCGGAAAACAAACTGTATCTTTCAATGATTTTCCCAGAAAAGGGAGCAAACACAAAATTGACTAATCTGACCCACTTGTTGAGCTTTAATTACATATCCTAAGGCCCATAAAATAATTTGTCACGTGGCGTTGGGCTGTAATTAGATATCACAAGGCCCATAAAGTTTGTGCCACGTGGCTGTTAAGCATAAGGCTGGATCTACAAGCATATCGTGTGAAGTCATGTAGAGGATCGCTACACGAATTTGTCAATCAGATCAAACTTCTTCTACAACTATTTCAATATATCTACGTGCCTCCTTCTCTCTCTCTCTCTTCTTGTGACCACTCTTCCTGTCTGTTCACTGGTTAGGATCTCTATCTTTCTCTCTCTGATCTTTATTTTGTTTCTTTCTCGGATTTTATCGGATTGTTTGACAAAACCTCAAGGGGTTTCGTTTTGATCGATCTCCGATCTCGATTCGAGGCTTTGACGATTTTCTTATTGGTGTGTATTTGATCGGATCTCGCCATTTTGTAGGAGGTGAATTTTGATTTATCGGTCGATCGGATTTGAGTTTTTATTTGAATCTCTGGTTGCTGTGAAAATGCCGGCGTTTTATGGAGGAAAGCTCACGACCTTCGAGGACGATGAGAAGGAGAGCGAGTATGGTTACGTTCGCAAGGTATTATCTCGTTTTCTCGATCTGATATCTAATTTCTGCGTATCTATGTTAGTTTTTGAGGAAGGATTGAGAAAGTAGTTGATCGGGTTTAAGGTAAGATCGGTGGGAGAGAACTAGATTTGTTTTTTTTTCCGGGGACATTGAATCGGTTGATTCCGTTTTGGTTTAGTTACTCGTATTGTGAATC